TCATTTTTTTTATCATTTCTTTTGTTCGTCCATCAATTTCTTAATCCATTTGTCTGTTTATCCATTCATTTGTTCAGTACTCATTTGTTTACTCACGACTTTCAATATGTATTCTAATATCATTCTTTAATCTTCTTCAGGCACTGCTTGAACGTGGTGAGAAGCTTCACCATTTAGACAAGGCAACCGCAGACTTAGCTTTAAATGCACAGAACTTTGCCGACATGTCAAATCAAATCAAACTCAAATACAAAGAAAAGAAGTGGTACCAGGTGTAGTTTGTACAAAACAAAATAATTTTGTAAACTATAAAACTCTTTAAATAAGACAAATAATATTTAAAAGGAAAACATGAAATTTTGAATTTCTAGAATGTATGCCATAATTATATTCATATATTRATGGAAATGTTTTAAGTCATTTTTCAAAAAAAAATCTAGTTTGCACTGCTAATATTACTAACAGCAGAAACTGTTGCATTGCRACTTCAATGTTCAAAAGAAATMGTTAGGATTTAGGTTTTTCTGCGACTTTGGGGGCTGAGCTTGCTGAAAGTCAGGCAATGACTGAAAGAGTTTACAACAAGTTCTGTCCCTCAGATCAAAGGAAACAACAAAATCCAAACAAACTTCAAAATGAAGAAGTCTCGATGCAACTAGAGTAATAATATAGCAAAAATATGATCAGATACTGCTGTTAGATGGTAAATACTTTAGATGAAGTAGATTTTCACTGTTCTACAGCATCAACAGGACAATGCAATGATTTTCKCTGCAAGAAGTCTACCACTAACCCCCAATTTCCTCTCCAATACCAAAACTGTACTATTTTGCAATAGGCCATTTGTATTATGACGTAACTTTACTACGACTACCAGAGAGCCTTGCGCATTGTCATTTTTATTCAGATTTTTAATCCCCTTGGAGATTTAATAAAACAATTGGCACTAATTGCATTACAAAGGAAAGTTGGCAGAGMATTCTGGTAGTTGTAGTAAATGACGCCATAATGCATATTGCCTATTATTGTCCAAGAATGTTGAGTGAGCTATGTGTGAACTAAAGGTATCAAACTGCATGCTTTTAAGTTAAAACTCCTGTCTCGCTGTGATRCAGAGATGTATAATGGAGTATTGCAGCAGTGGTTAACACAGCTATAGGAAACAAGTGCTAAGTTATCAAAGTTAATTCCTCACATGTCTTTCAACACTTTTTAGTAGTGACACACTATTATTTTTAGTTTTGATTGATATGGCATACATTCTGTTAATCAAGCAAAATAAGTCCCCTTGTAACCTAWTAAAAAGCCAACAAATTTCAAGGAAAGAAAACTTTTATAATGAGCGGTAAAAAGTTAATTAATCATTAGTTAATACATTAGTGGTCAGATGTCCTCGCGTTATAAGGATATTCCTTCAAATAAAAACAGAACTTATCACAAACCAAAATCTTTTTAATTATCAGTTCCTTACTCCTCCCCTGTTGGGAAAATTTTTGAATGTTCCCCACAGGTGGAGGTGTGGGACAAAATGTCACTTCCTTCATTGTAAAAAAAAACTTTTGATGGTCAGATACAAGTGATGTAAGCTGTCAAAAATAGAAATTGTTGAATTACTGTGTATATTAGGTTAAGAGTGGAATATAACAGAAAATTGAAAAACTGGATGACAATTTTTTCTCTTGATGTGTATTTAGCTATTAATTAACAAAGAAAATGCATTGAAACGTAAACATAAATAAAGATTTTATACAGAAATAGTTTTGTGAATGTTTTATTGAACATCACGATGCAGGGATTGAATACCGGTACACCTTTAGTTATTTGACTCGCATTTCATTCTGTTTCACCATATAAGTGTAATGACTCAATTACCGGTATATTGAATTTTATTGTTTACTGAACTAAATATTATAAATACATCTAAATGTTACACTTTTTGCATGTTTTTTCTCCAAGTCCTAATATATTACCCTTGTTAAAAGATCCTTGCTAAAATCTAATGAGAACCATGCATATATTATTGTCAGCATTCAAAATTCATCTTTGCCAAAATGGCCGTAAGTGAGGTTGTAGCTYTTCATTTGACATAACTGCAAATCGTTCCTTTTGTAGCCAGTGAAATGGCAGTCAAATGTGTTGAATGATGGTCCACACGGTGCACCCTGCAAAGACAACAAACTGTCTTTAGACATGCACACTGATAGTCAGTGTACATCAATTCCCAACCCTTCTCCCTATAGGGAAGTTTCCCTGTAGAGTATGTGTACATCCATTCCCAACCCCTCCCCTTATAGGGAAGTTTCCCTGTAGAGTATGTGTACATCCATTTCCAACCCTTCCCCCTATAGGGAATTTCCCGTGCTATAGAGTATGGAGTCCTAAGAAATATTATAATAATAATAATCCAGTGCTCTTCAAACAGCAAGTACTTGCTCTTGAGTACACAAACATTTTAGCTAAAAGACAGTGCTGTGTATTTTCTTAAAGACTAGGAGACTATTTATAATTTATACCTCATTAGCAAACAAAGTCATCAAGAATCTTCCAGGTTTGAATGCATCCAACACTTTGTTGATCAAATCTTTGTAACACTTCTGTAAAAGAMAAACATTTTTGTCTGATTCTAAATTATATAATAAGGTTTGATGATGGGAAGTAGATGCTTCAAGTTCACCATGATGAAAGTCTGTATAAAACTCTGCCAATGCATTATTGGTACAAATAATGATCAATAATTTCAATTGATAATAATAAAAACAACTTACCAGTTTCAGGTTRGTTTCAAAGCTAACATAGGAGCATTTTTCTTGTGGGGTGATGTGAATAGTGAAGTAACTGTCCTAAAATGAATGAAACAATTTTCATTAATATCAGATTTATAAATTACAAATAACGTTTTAAAAGCATTGCATAAATTTTATTCAAGTCAGCTCCAAGAAATGTTTTACATAACTAACACTCTTGAAATTATAGTAATTTAAGATAACACTAGCTTGTTTGGACAACAATGTTGCATGCAGTAGCTAGCACTGTGCAATATAAGTGTGCTGCAAAAATCGTGCTGCAGTGAATTTTCAGCAGTTACTGGGTTGCCTGTGTAAGTATCTACCACAGGCAATCCAGTCAGACAAGTGAGTTTTCTCACCCGCAGTAATGCCTTCAGAGGGTACTTGTGCACTTGTGAAAGCACATTGTTGTTCTCAAATGCAGGAACCTGCATCAAGATATGTTTATTAGAGTTGAGGCATATGCAAAATGTTGCATACTCTTGGACCAATCACAGCAAACTCAATAAGAAATCTATATTTTTTAATATTTTTTTTACACCTCCAAAAACACTATAAATAGCGCATCGAACAATTAGATCACTAGCCTGATGATCGCACAAGTTGCGTGAATCTCGAATAGTTTGTAGTCCTTGTAAAAATATATTTTTTATTCCTCTCTACATGTATTGAGCACTCGTACCGACACGGGACAAACTTTACTTTATCTTATATTTTTTGAAATACTAATACCATGTTTTTTTTGTAAGTGAAACATGGTATTGAAGAAAAAAAGTTTCAAGATGGTGCATGTCAAATAGCCGAGTTTAGATATTTTGGTTCAGTGACCATGCACAAAAGAATTGCAGACGAGGCTCCGGGGAAATAAAGAATAAATCAAGATTATCCATTGATAATTTTATTTTTTTTAATATTGCAAAGAGTTATTTTGAAGTGCACACTTCAAAATGACCAATCAAAGAGCGTATAATATCGTTTTATTCTTTATTTCCCCGGAGCCTCGTCTGCAATTCTTTTGTGCATGGTCACTGAACCAAAATATCTAAACTTGGCTATTGAAATTTCTTTAACAAATATTACAAGAGATTCCTTACATCAATCAAACCATTCATTGAGTATCCACAAGGATCAAACAGTGCATCATCAATAAGGGCACCAGGGAGGAAATCTTTTATTCCTGACGCCTGTTTAAAAAAAATGACATAAACAATTGGGAGCAACCAGCTAGAAGGCAAATAGTGCTATCCACCATTTTCCTCCTTTTTCAAGGGCTTTTCAAGTGCAAAAACAACCTTTTAAGATCCTGTTAAGTATTTGAAGGACCAATTAGTCATTTTTTTTCTAATATTCAGTTGTTAGTTGTAACTTTCAATACGATTTCCTTTCTAAATGTCAAAATTAGAACATAAACACACTGAGCAAACACCTACAGGACCTGAATTCATAATGCAAATACCACTGGAACCTTTATTTAATCAAAATAATTAGTAATAATAACTTTGGCATACCTTAGTTACTTCTTTCACATCTGTATCTTGTTCTTTGAAGAATTTTTTCATTGTTTTGGGGTCAAGGTCTTGCATAAGAATCTCCAATGTTTGGTCAGGCTGTTGTACTCCTGGGACATCATTGTGGAGTGTATAAAGATACCTAAAACAATTATTTTCATGTAAACAATTCTGTCCTCACTAAACAAAGTATATTATAAAGATATACTGTCTTACCAGCACCCACGTCCATTGATTCTACCAAGTGCATAAGCTGCACCATCTAAAACAACAAATAAGTATAGTTTAAAACACGATCTCAAGTGTTTTAAACGGCTTAAAAAACTCCAACACTAATTTGAAACTCAAATCCGTTAAAATTCTTGGANTGGCTATTGAAATTTCTTTAACAAATATTACAAGAGATTCCTTACATCAATCAAACCATTCATTGAGTATCCACAAGGATCAAACAGTGCATCATCAATAAGGGCACCAGGGAGGAAATCTTTTATTCCTGACGCCTGTTTAAAAAAAATGACATAAACAATTGGGAGCAACCAGCTAGAAGGCAAATAGTGCTATCCACCATTTTCCTCCTTTTTCAAGGGCTTTTCAAGTGCAAAAACAACCTTTTAAGATCCTGTTAAGTATTTGAAGGACCAATTAGTCATTTTTTTTCTAATATTCAGTTGTTAGTTGTAACTTTCAATACGATTTCCTTTCTAAATGTCAAAATTAGAACATAAACACACTGAGCAAACACCTACAGGACCTGAATTCATAATGCAAATACCACTGGAACCTTTATTTAATCAAAATAATTAGTAATAATAACTTTGGCATACCTTAGTTACTTCTTTCACATCTGTATCTTGTTCTTTGAAGAATTTTTTCATTGTTTTGGGGTCAAGGTCTTGCATAAGAATCTCCAATGTTTGGTCAGGCTGTTGTACTCCTGGGACATCATTGTGGAGTGTATAAAGATACCTAAAACAATTATTTTCATGTAAACAATTCTGTCCTCACTAAACAAAGTATATTATAAAGCTATACTGTCTTACCAGCACCCATGTCCATTGATTCTACCAAGTGCATAAGCTGCACCATCTAAAACAACAAATAAGTATAGTTTAAAACACGATCTCGAGTGTTTTAAACAGCTTAAAAACTCCAACACTAATTTGAAACTCAAATCCGTTAAAATTCATGTAATATTCTGTTTATCATATAGAGGATATTACATGGGCTTGTGGAGGATTTTATCTTTGAGTGTTGAAACGATCTCTGACGAGTGTGAGAGCATATCTCCAAGC